TCGGTTACATTCATTAAATCTGCAAACCAGTGTAGCTTCAAACTATGTCCAAAAGGGGGAATTTTAGTAAAGTTGACTGCCAATGAACTGCTGATGGAAGGGGATCATAAGAATATTAAAGAGCCTTCTGGGGGATCAGGTAAGTTTTACCGTGATCTTCATACCCCTCCCCCCTCCCACCTCCCCCCTCCCCTTGCTAACGGCGATGAATAATGGCTGGAGTTTTGAGAGTTTCCGGAGGCTGTCACCGGAATTTGAACCGTATTATCCTGTAACGCGCAAAAAGTTTTCTTCAAAATGATGAAGACCACGAAATACTAGTTTTGCAAGACAGAAAGGCATAAAAATGAGGAGAATGAAGCGAAAAGATACGACGAAGGTTGAGGATGGAAAGGATTGACAATAGATTGATAATGACAATACATTGCTAATAATGGACTTGAAAAACTTTCAACTGATGTCGAGCGCACCTTTGTTTTTAGGGACTAGTCATCATTGATCACCCTGGTGGGTGGGGCGGGGGGAGGGGAGATGGTAGTGTCGGATGATTTTTGTTGTGTTACGATAAAGTTGGAGAACCCCTCCCCCCCGAAATCCTTCAACCCTCCTACTTTCCAGGCGAAAAATAATGACTGGTGTTTGATCTTCCTCTTATAATGGTGTTGACTAACATCCTAGTCTGCACTTTGAAGATGTTGATTACAGAAGGAAAAAAAAGCACTCATGCCTTTTCAAGAATATTTTTTGTGAAAGCTGTTTTGAAGGGGAATTTTTAAATAATTATTTCAGATTTTTGTCCATTTTACACGAAGTTTAATATGTACTGGGAAAGAACTGCCCTGAATGAGATTGTTGTAAGGAACTGTTCAGAGATGGATCCAGAGTTAGGAGGTAGGAAAAATGTTTTGATACGCTTCGTCAAAAAATTGTTATTTTGTGATGGTACTCAACACAAATTTAATTCCCAAGATCTGATTGTTAATTCTCCCCTAAGCTTCCACGCGTTACCTTGTGAATAAGCGACAAGAATTTGGTGTGAGATGAAGGCAACATCTCCTATCTGTTAGGATTGAGTGTTCTCATTACCAGTTTTCAGGGTAGTATATATATTACAGGGAGAAGTTACATCTTAGTCACTTCTGGGATTAAAAAGGTTAAAAGGAAACTATATAACTCCTAGAAGTCAAACGAAGTGCCCAGATGTGGGTGGAAAACAGGTTACTGTTTTAGTGCACTTCACATGACATTTTTTTTCTCTGATCATGGAGTATGATCACTCGGGTGAGAAGAGCACGTCCTGAATTCGAAAAGTCAGTAACGTTGACTAAAGTTTCAACAAATTTATCGTCCAAAGTAAGTTAATTAACTTTGACTATCATTTCGTTTATAGAAATTTCAGTCATGCACCTCGGCCAGTAACAGTAAATTTCTGTTCTTTCCTCGCCAGGAGGATTACGTAAACCAATCAGTTGTTATTCCAAGGTTCAGACTGTGTTCAGTGCTTGTGTTAATTTTCTACAATATCCTTTCATTGTATGAACCCGATACAAAATTCAATCAGATCTATGGAGCTTACTTCGTCAGGCATTCGCGTAAGCTTACAGCATTTGCTGCTGGTTGCACTTGATACACTTAGACTTTGAATCACCATCATTAGATTGTTAAGATAGATTTAATATTGTTTGTGCCTCAGCAACGCACTTTTCTTTTATTTATTTTCATTTGGCCACAGGAAATTTCACGAACCGTTGTTCTTCACCGTATGGTGATATGACAGAGTGGAGTTTCAAAGAAAGCTGTTTTTGCGAAAAAAAATCTCTCCGTCAAGAATTCAGGCATAAAGTATGTAGTAGCTTGATTCCAATGTATTCTAATCCGCGGTTGTTTGAAACGCGATACATGACTCAATTGGAATAGCAAATAAATAAATCAAGCTTTTGATTTATTTTCAAATTTTTTCGTTTCTGCATTTAGTAAGGGGGACGGTAAGTTTTTAAAGAAACGATAAGGAATATAACAACTAAGATGATTTGGTTTTATTAATTGAGTTGCTTACATAAATCGGCCACCATCTAGAGTTTGTAGAATTTGTTATTCGCTCTGACGAAGGGTTAAAGCGCAAAACATCAGATTTAGAACTCTTTACAGTGGCCAAGAATCAAATGCCGTAATTGAAATAGTTTGTTTGATTCGCGTTCGCACGAACGAAGAAGTTAATATCGTCATCGTGTTTATCTTAAAGTTCATTGGGTAAACAACTGAGTTTACTGGAACTAATATAAGGCTTCTCTCCATTCATTTTAAGCTATCCATAGTGAATCTAACAAACATTTTGGAACTAACAAGAGGATTTGTGAACAAGGCCACTAACTTTACAAACAAAGAACTGTTCTTTAATTATCTGAGTCTTTGGTTTAAAAGTGGAGCTCTCCTACTAAATCCAGTCAACCATTCCAACGATATGGTGGCGCTCAATTTCTCACAGGTACGAATTTTAGCCTTTAGGACCATATGACAGACTTTACATTCTTTGTCAGTTTGAAATTACATATGCGCTTTACTACTCTTTTAACAAAGGAC